CTGTATATGTGACATAGGACGCATTTTTGATCATCGACCAGGCTGACTGTAGGACACAATCATACTCTATAATGTAACTGAATTGTCATTTTAAATTTCTAGTTTTGCGGCCTTTGGGTCCTAACAATTCCAGTCAGAAACTGATATTGATAAATATTTAAAAAAAAAATTTCGAGGACACATGAGGTAGTATTGATCAATAGTTAGCCTACCATATAATTACTAATTAATTGTTATTGGTCTGCAAACCTCTCCACAACGACGCATATGATTTCATCATTTGCAAAAAAGCTTTTACTTTTCAAGTATTTCTAAAATTTTGGAAACAAATAATAATGTAATTGTGCTAAATCCGGAGAATGGGGCGTGTGGTCAACCAATTCAAAACCAATCTCATACGTTTTGTGGATCACAATCAGCTACTTGTGAGCAAAGACACATTTGGCAAGTTTTTGCGGCGCTTTCCACAATTTTCTCGCGTAATCTTAGTAGCTGCTCAGTATAATATGCTCCCGTAACAGTTTTATTAATTACCTCATCTGTGTTTTAGAACACTGAAGCCAAAACCTTGAACAGGATTTTTTGATCGTCGAAAATCAGAATTCTTCAACTCTTTGGACTGATATTTAGTTTCTGGGTCATAGTGTTAGATCCACGTTTCGTCCATAGTAACAAGCCGAACCCAAAACTTTAAGGAAATGTCTTCAAACTAACCATTCCCTTTGACGTTTTCAACCAAAAGCTCTTCTGATCAGGATTTAGACATCTCGGAATTTATTTGGCCGAAAGCTTTCTCATATTCAAATCGTGATGAACGATGTGAAACACGTGTTCATGTGAAATATGCAATTCTTGGTCTATAGGCTTGTTCAATTCGTTGATCTGCTAAATTCATATCAAGACTGACTCAATGTTTTTACGAGTGTTCATAGAAATTAGTCTTTCAGAGCGGTGCTCATTTTTTCCTTTCTCTAATTCTGCTATCCAGTTTTTAATGGCGGCATAAGAATAAATATTTAACTACTGACCAAAACTCAAATTGTTCGAAATAATGCTTTTGTCAAAACTAAACAATTCTATCACTGTTTCACTTATAGTATATAATACTCCGACAATTTATTTAAAAAACATTTTAGTTGCCAATTTTGTTTACTTGAATCTTTACAGGCCCTCATATACAGTAGTTTTTCGACTCTAAACATAAACTAACACTATTTCTTCATAATTTACAAAATAAGTCAAGACAGAATTTGGCTTGAAGGCAAACAAATTACAATTTGATAGACGAAGTTTATTTATAAAAAATATTTAGTTCAAGTTAATTGTTGCCTGTTAGCGTTCTCAAGAACCCCGTATTTTTATTTTTTAAAAAAATTCCCGTTTTTGAACATTTGCGAGAGCCCTGTCTTCAAAATATATATTTTTTTACTGAAATTCGAATCAAGCTTTGAACGTTCAAATTAGGGTAAATTATTTGAATAATATTTGTAAATGTCAAAAGGACACTTTTTCAGTACTCCGATTTGTAAACACTGGCTACTTTCACTCCAAACGACTCGTTAACCCAAGTAGTCTGGGCAAAAGTATAAAGCTGAAATCTTCACTTTCTGTGAAAATTAAGATAGAAATCATTCATTATTATCATTGATTATTTGAATATGAAGCAAGGCCAGTGATCGCACAGACCTGTTTCGCCGACCTAATTTCTCAACATACAAGGTGCCCCGTTAATCAGTGAAATCTTTAATTCACTATACGCCGTCGCCCACGGGATAACGTTGCTTTCTTATTCTTCGCTGTACACTGTGTTAAACCACATCTCTTGGAAAATAATTAAATAATCGAGGACCGAAAATTAAAAAAGATAATTTTAGTCAAGTTCAATAATTCCGAAAATCCGACCAAGTTCCCTGTGCTATCACCGCGCGCATTCATCGACCTTACAAGCTTTATTCGAATTGTGGCGACAAAAATAAATATTGCTCTTCCATAGTAAGTAATGCCGATTGAAGTATTTAGGATGTTCGAATGACATTAGTTGTATTCAACCTGTTGATTTTGTAATTGCTTCCTATATGATGACTATACTACTATTAAGTAACTTTTATTCGGAATTCCGTTAAAAATAACCGTATCACATATTTATTTTATTTTTTTGGCATCCAAGACTATTTAAAATTGCGGATTTAATTCTTTTATTTTTTTTTATATGTTTGATATAGATCACCTGTTTGTTTTTTACCGATTTGACAGACGTTAGTTTACTATGAATGTAAGTACGGTTCTTCTTCGATGGGTAAAGTGGGTAAATTCATGGTAAAATAATAATGGAACCACAATGGAACCAAAAACGGTGTGAACTCAGTTTGCTAGGTCGACCATTAAAAATTGTTCCAATGTCTTATCATTCTATTCGTTTTGATTGATTTTAAAATTATTTAATGAAGTTTTGATAAATCAATAGCATATAAATTAAGGACTGTGAATTATTTTGCGTAAACAACAGGTCTTAATAGGAATTATTACACATTCAACATTCATGACAATAATTCATTTCAGAAAGAGGTTAGCACTTAAAATTAGTACTTAAATCTTTTAACTTAACAAATGCGAGATTTCCTAATACAACTCTTAAATTAATCTAACAATCTTTGTGCATATTTTGATCATAATCACTTGAAATTCGATCTATTATCACAAATTATCCAAATGCAATTTGAACGAAATTATTAAAAATATCTTCGGTTTGTATGTGTAGTTTGAAGAAAGGTAAAAATTTTAATTTTATAAAAAAATATAGTTAATTATCTGTGAAAGATACTTACCACTGTACTTAATTCAAAAGTTTTTCACCTAAATGCACTGTAAATCGAGAACATCCCAAAATTGCCACCAACCGCTTGTAAATTTAAGGTTAAATATACCAAAATCACCAAAAACACTCTTAATTATAAAATTTAAAATGAAAAATACAAGTTTCTTGGGTAATTTTATGAAAATGAGGGATAATAAATACTTTTTAATTTATAAATTATAAATAAAAGACCCATTAAAAAGTGGGAATCAATGAAGGCCTGTGTACGCCCTGATTATATTAGGCTGCGAAGCAATAATATTGGTGGCGATTTCGGGCAACCCCCTGTAACCATGTAAATCAATATATCACATTATATTGAAAAAAATTTGTGGCCTTTTATCCATTATGAAACACCAGGGGTCCGGTAAAGGATCCTGAGGTGCGAAATTCACAAAAAAATTTTTAACACTCAAAAGTAACTAGTTTCTATAGTAAATTTTTGAAAAAAAATTTATGGATGAAGCAGTATTTTTCGAAAAAAATTGAATTAAAAATCCCAATTTTACAGTTTATAATCACAAAACAATTACTCTAAATGACAGTTTCTGACGTTTCTGTCTTAAAAATAACAAACGTTGCCAAGTTGTTAATAAAATTATAAGTTTAAGGATTATTTAAATTTATAATCATAAATTTTTCGTTTGGTTTAAAAAGATAAGTACGGTAATAATCGTAAATAAAATGAAAAAATTAATATATCAACCAAATTAATTTTAAAAATGCAGCTCAAAAAAACTACATACAAAATTAAAAAGTGAATTTAATTAAATCACTCAACATGTAATACCTAGACAACTTTTTTTTAAATTTTCTTTCACTCAAAACGAAACAACGACTTCCGCTAGCGTGGCGGCTTCGCCGCCACCAAAAAAATTTTAATCCATACCTGGCTACGCCTACCGGCATAGATTCCAACGGCCTGGACACAGCTCAAATTGAAATGAAAAGTCTCACATAACACATTATAATCAAAAATCATACATTTTTCGTTTGGTTCAAAAAGATAAGTACGGTAATAATCGTATATAAAATGAAAAAATTAATATATCAACCAAATTAATTTTAAAAATGCAGCTCAAAAAAACTACATAAAAAATTAAAAAATTAAATTAATTAAATCACTTAACATGTAATACCTAGACAACTTTTTTTAAATTTTCTGTCACTCAAAACGGAAAAACGACTTCTCGTTGGGTGGCGGCTGCGCCGCCACCAAAAAATTTTAATCCATACCTGGCTACGCCTACCGGCATAGACTCCAACGGCCTGGACACAGCTCAAATTGAAATGAAAAGTCTCACATAACACATTATATTTTCACCTATAAATTATTTTCTTGTCATTCAAACAGAAATCTTAAACTTGGAAATTATCAGTGATAAAAATCAACAATATAGTATGGCAACGTTGCAAACTCGAGGACCTTATGTGTCAAGAACTGACAATTTCATGAATCACTTTATTTTAGGTTTTATGGAAAGAAATGATGAAAAGTTAGGTTAAATCAGTCAAAATATTGCATTTTATTATAATATAAATAAAAATAGCAAATGAAACGTATTATTCCATATTTAATTTCAGTTAAAATATTATAAAAAGTAAGTTACTTCAATATATTAATGCTAAAATTATGAAATTCGCACCTCAGGATCCTTTACCAGAACCAACACCAGATAAATATATAAATATAATATACCGTATATTTCTCTCAAATAACAATAACTTAAATGTTTTCCTTGCTTCAACTCCACATTTTAATATCTTTAATATATATCTTAATAAAATAATGATACTTTTATCTACTTAAAGTGCGACATAATAAATCTAACACTTTTTCTGCCCTTTTTACCACAACCTTTTCGGATGCAAACACCCTCATTTCTAAATTTATTATAACTAAATAATATTATATTTCTGACCAAGAGACCAAAGGGTAAATTTAAATATTCGATTTTTGTAATCGATTACTTAAATTTAATTTTCCGAGTTCATCTGTACGCATGTATACATTGAAGATTGGAAAATATGATAAGATTCTAATTAAAGTTCAAAAATAGAAGTAGTTGAAGCTATTCTTAAAAACAAACAACTCACAACAGCCTAACCTAATTGTTTACCGATCACATCTTCTTTAAGAGACAATCCCATTCTTAAATCCCAATCTAATAATCATAAATAACCATTATAATCATAATTTATTACATTGTTATTATTAATTTGAATGACGTATACTGCAAAAGAGAGTTCAAAACCAATTTTTTGCTGCGCCATAGTTTTTCGATGTTACACGAATTTTGGTGACGCATTTTTTCTTTTTTTATAATTTAATTAAATGATCATTTAAAAGTACAATATTTATTCTTTTAATTGAGTAAGCCTACCTAAAGTTGATAGTTTTGGGAGATTTTTAAATGTAAGTGGCAAAAAATATAAATCAGAAAATAATTTCATTTTAACTGGTCACTGATTAATAGAACTTATTATTTATATAATTTATCATAAATGCCTTGCCTAAGTCATGCGGGCAAATGAACTTGTTACGAACATAATTTTAGTGCAATTTTGATACAGAATTTAGAAGCCTCGAAATCAAAAAACAAATTCGGACAAATTTTGACAATGAAAATATAGTCAAAGTTGTTCAATCGGTATTACTTTAATAAATTATGAACAATTAAAAAAATCTAAATGATATGTGTAACAGCTATGACTGAACTAGTACATGCCACCGTGATATTTGTTCTTGCTGGAATTCTTTCATGTCCATCCAGTGGGATAACTCTTCCGCGCCGCTCGAGTTTAAACCTAGACTAAACCAACCAACCATTTCTTTCTTCTTTGTTACTCCCTTCCTGTTGTACACAGATACCATTAAAGTCACATCAGCTAATTGGAAAAGAGCCACCTGTAAAATAATTAAAAATGTAAAGAGTGGTCCACAAAAAAATGTTTCTAAAATTGGCCATGACTGACAAAGACAATGGTATGAGTCATATCCATGATAACTGCGCACGGCTCTGAATTAAATCTACTAACGCTTAACCAGAAGAAGAATTGTACGCTTCGACACAATATGAGAATTTTTCTAAGGTCTACTTTAGAAATTTTTTTTGTTGTGTACCTCATATATTAAATTTATAGGTAAGTACATTTCGATTCCAAAGGATTCAGCAACAGCCCAAATACTTAAACGACGATTTTATCGTATTAGTAGAGAAGCCAGTGGCATTTTTAGGTGTGTTAGTGTTAGTTGCTACAAGGCAACATTACAAATGTTTAGTTCATTCTTACTTTATAGAACATGTAAATCCTGTGCTGCACCAGCGATGGAGCGCTTAATGTAGAAAATGCTAATGTTATATATACGAAGACTAGAGAGGAGGCGAATTGGCATACCTGAAATAGGGACCCAAAAAACGAACGCTAACTAAGCTTTCACAATTCACCGCAGGGGCGCTGGTGTTGCTAGGGGGATGTTAAAAATAGGAATTTTACATAATTTTGTAAAAATAATAAAAATACAATTGTTTATTGCAAAATAAAGCACAGAAAATATTATTGTATTTATTTCTAAACAAGTCTTGCATGTTTTAAGTGATAAATTATTTATTTTTCTCTATATAAAATGCAAATTAGGTATGACCAAATTCGAAATGGTTTGTTAATTGGTGAAATTTGGTAAGTACAATTTTGTGGCTAATTTTTTTTTTAATTATACCTAAATATAATTTTAATAGCCAAATAAAACACAGTTAAGAGATTTTTTATTGTTATAATACGAGTAAAGTAAATTCGAGAATATACATGGTATTGCCTCATCCTTTAATTTTGGCCTTCCACTTTTTATTTTGCTAACAGTACCATAAGTTAAAATAATATTTGGAAATATCTTCTAAAAAGTATAGCTCACAAACAGTAACATCTCTAGAAAGTGCTTTATCAGTCCTGCCAGAGACAACCCAGCGAGACGTGTAACTCAATGTATTTTTTTTGTTCGGTAAAAGTTGTTTGAGCGATTCTAACCACAACCAGCCTATGATGGCGTCACTAGGAAATAGCGAGAAAATTTAAAAATGCTTTAGGGCGGAAAATTCAAATATGGATTCAGATATAAATAGTTTTTCTACACAAATTTACAGGAGAAACAAAAACTATTGTTTCACTGTATATTAACAAATGTAAAAGCTTCCAATAACATCAAATTTTTCATCATATAAATAATCATTTTAATAAAGGTAGTTTTAATCAGTTTAATATAAACAGTGAAGATAGTTTTTATTACTCTTGGAAATTTCGCTAAAAAAACTTGAAAATTCTATTGATTATTAAATATTTAAACTTGGAAAAATAATACAACAAACTCTTTTTCTATAAATTATATTTTTTTAAGGTACAGAAAAACAATCTACAATTGCTACGTTTAGAAAGTACCTCGTATCATTTTGTGACAAATTACAAAGAAAGTCACAGTTGTTATATATTCATCCACTAGAGTGGCTATTAGAGGTAGGTGTATGTAAGAAATAGCCAATCTCTAATCATTTCAAAAGTTCTTTGCCAATACTACATGTGCAGAGATTTTTTACTCAGCATACATTTTACTTCTTCTCTAGTAGGTGGGAACTTTGTGCTGCCATTAAAGCTGTCGGGACATTCATCTACCTACTTAATGAACAAAAGTAGCTGTAACAATGGGTCTCTGTTTCAATTCACCTAAAATAATTATAGCTATTTTGTAATATATTATTAAACACATGCATTTATACAGTGGTTTTCTTAATAAATTGGAAATTACTTACCTCTAGAAAGAAACGTGTACAAGAACGCGAGTTTCTTTCCAGAAATTGCTTCATGCAAAAAATAATGTGCAAAAATAAACATTCACCCCTCCCAAAGAAAATTAATTAAACAACAAAATCAGACTCAAAGAAATAAACGGGGCCCAAATTAAATTAATTTTAATAAAATGCACACGTTCATAACAACATTCATAACATTGTCAGTTGTCAGTTCTAATCTATACGTCGACGTCAAAAAACCAGCAACATCAGCGACCTCTAGGATTGATGTTAGTTTCATTAGAGACAGATAAATATTAGTAAAGATCAATGTAAAAGAAAAAGAAAGTCATATATGTAATTTAAATGGACCACCGAACAAATTTTCCTATTAAGTTACACGTCTCTGTTGTCTCTGGTCATGCGAATGATATGCTGCCACTGTCCTAAACGTTTAGGATCCTATAAAAAACTTTTACAATGACATAATTGAGGTTTAACAAAAAAATAATAGTAGCAACTCTTCGTCTAACATTAAAACAAATTTTATTTTCTAGCAAGTTGAATGTGCAAAATTATTTTTATTGGTGAGGATTTATAGAAATTTGTAATAAACTTCACTCTGTAAAATACGCGTTTTGACTAATTTACAATAATTTTTTTTACTTAACTAGGAGCTTTAAAATAACGTTTAATTGATTTCTCCTTGTGTTTTCTTTAGTTTTACATCTGATTTATATCTCGTTTTATAACATGGAACCAAGTAAATCATGCTTTGATGTTTTTTGTCAATCATGTTGCTTGTAGTCAGGTACCTTATTCACATTATTTTCATTATTTACTCCAATGAAAAAAAAAAAAAAACTTTATGTCACATTAACGTATTCTAACGTTTGACCCGCCAACTACAGTCAATTTGGCAAACTTTATAAAAAGGACGGAAATTTGAAATTTGTTCATTGTCGATTCGCCTCCTTCTCGTTAGTCTTCATAGTCATATATTTGATGAAATAATTAACTTGACATAAGCCTTCATAGCTTATCTCATTAGCATCACACATATGCAAACAGTATATCGCCATCATTAGCATAATTCACTTTTGGTACCAACAAGCAGCTAGTTTCGGTAATACTGAACATGCGCATTGAGTCGTTTTAGACCCTGCTGCGTCGATCGTTAAACATTAAAGATTTATTTCCAATGTTGAAATTATTTCTTGCTTAATTATTTTGGAGTAGTGGTCTAGATTTCTGTGTAGGCTGATCATGCGCATACCGCTTAATCTTTCTTACCCATTGTGGACCTCACCACGTTTTTACTTTTACTCTCCTGAGACCTGAGAGTACTGAACGTCCTCTCAATGGAAGCAGTTGTGCACAGGACTGCCAAGCAAATCATTATTTCCCTCTTAGTTACTGGTTAAAAGTCTGTCTTAGCTAAAACGGACACGAAATCGAGGTAGGTGTCTTCATCATTTTTCAAAGTACAAAACTGATGTCACAATGCTAATTTTTGGAAATTACAAAAATGAAAAATTCCCATTTCCCCCTAAAAAATTATAAAAATTACACCCTCATTTCTCCAAAGTGAACACAAACCAAAGAAAAATTGAAAAAGCTGAGAATTAAAGAGAGACAAAATAAGTGCATCAGCCGGGAGGTGAACACGGAAGCTCGGACTTCAGTCGTCCATACTCTGCCAATTGAGCTACCGATACACATATATGTAATACAATCCGAGTTTGCAAATTTGAAGTCAATCCGATTCCGATTCTCGTTGGTACACACAAATTCTCATCCAATCTCAGCTCCTTCAATTTTCCACTCTTTTGAAATCGTGTAGAAGAACGACCATTTATAATTATATTAGAACAAAGTCCTTCATTCGTTCATTAATAATGAGTTTTCTAAAAAAACTAATTTTTTATTTCTTTGTCAGCTTTTTCAATTTTTCTTTGGTTTGTTTTCACTTTGGGGATATGGGGGTATAATTTTCATAATTTTAAAGGGAGAATGAGGGATTTTTCAATTTCTAAATTTCCAAAAAGTGCATTTAGTATTCGGATCTTACCGGATTTTCTCACTTCAGTTTTCATTGAATTCAAATACTGGTTTTTAATATTAAAAGTCAGCTATTCCTGATCTGGAATAATTTAAGATATCTACAGAAAACTCTCCAACTTTAACTTTAAATTTAGATTAGCAACGAACTTCAGAAGAACTTTTGATATTTTTTGATTTGTTAAGATTATTTTTCTACTACCGTGCGTAAAGTACGTACTTTACGCACTCCACGAAGTGTGTAAAGTTGTATTATTTTTCACTAGTTACTAAAGTAAAACTCTTTACGCACTGGTTAAAAAAAGTAAAATTTGACAAAATTTGTACATAACAACAAAATATAACGTTTTATTTTATATTAACATTTTTTGCTATCTCCTTCTAAGACAAATAAATAAATAATTTTTGCTTATATCTATTTAGTGTCCAACAAATTATCAACAGTATATTTTAATTATAATTTGCTCTAAATGTCATCGATTTAATTAAAAGTAAACATACAGTGGATGTCGATTTTGGTAGAAGTAAGTTGGCCGTGGCTGTGTGGATTGGAAGAACTGTCAATCTCTAAACTTTTAATTAGTACCTACCTTATAACAGAACACGAAAAAAGTATACTTAAGTTCAAGATTAGATTCTAAAGCCAATTTAGCATTTTTTTAAACTCAATCAAGTTTGAGAAGGTAAAAAGTTTTACTTTTTAATGTTTGTTTACTTAAATTCAAATTTTATTTGCAGTTTATTATATCTGTCATAATCGATATGGATTCAAATTTATCTAGCGATAGCGAATTTGATAATACTCCCCCAGATATCTTATGCAGTGCACAAAAGGCCACTGAAAATTTATTGCCAGAAAAATCTGCATATATTTATCAGCAAAAATACAATGCATTTATAGAATGGTGTAGGAAGAATAAGGTGACAAAATATTCGGAAAACGTTATTTTAGCATATTTCTCTGATGAATTGAAGAATTGCAAAGCTTCTACCCTATGGTCGATTTATTCTATGCTTAAAAGCACCTTAAAATATAAAAACAACGTTGATATTTCGAAATTCAACAAGTTAATAGCGTTTCTCAAACAAAAAAATAAAGGTTATAAACCAAAAAAATCCAAAATGTTTGAACGAGAAGATCTAATTAATTTTCTGTTGAAAGCTCCAGATTCCAAGTTTTTAATGATCAAAGTAAGTAAATGCCTCAGTAAATGCTTGAATGCTCAGTATAAAATTAAAATATTCTGTAAAGTTTTGCAACGAGATGTGTGTTCGTATGGTGTGTTGCCTAACAAAATCAGTTGCTGTCCTAACAGGCCACCGGGGTTGTTAGGCAGCACATTATACCTAAAACTTTTATATTTTTTACAATAGCATTTATTTGGAGTTTTACATGCGCAACGTCAAGATATTTCCTAATGTTTAATAAATTATTTGTAACATTACAATATGTTATTTTTTAGGTAGCTTTTATAATTGGAATTGCGGGAGCTTGTCGCTGGGAAGAATTATGTAAAATGACAATTAACGATGTGGAAGATAAATAAACAGTGTATATTGTCAAAGTATCAGAAACCAAAAATGGAATAAAACGCATTTTTACGATTTTAAATCCAAATAATTCTGCAGTTGATTATTTATCTTTCATAAAAAAATATACCTCATTAAGACCATCAAATATAAATTGTAACAGATTTTTTTTAAAATTCGCAAATGGAAAATATTCTAAACAGCTTGTAGGGATAAATACTTTTGGTAAAATGCCAAGTGTTATAGCAACGTATCTAAACTTGCCCAATCCAACGGCTTTTACAGGACACTGCTTTAGGAGGTCTTCAGCCACTATGCTGGCTAATTCTGGAGGAGACCTTCTAACGGTCAAAAAACATGGAGGATGGAAATTATCTGCTGTTTCAGAAGGCTACGTAGACAGCACAATAACACAAAAAAACAAAATTTCTAATAAAATTTTGATGGATGACAGTATGCCATCCACTTCCAAACAAAGCTACAATTTTACCGTTGACAACTCTAATGAAGAATTAGTGGAACCACTCGACAGTGAAACTAGAGTTACACAAAATATTTCAACCTCTTTACTTGAAAAGGCCAAATCCATACCACTCGAAGCTCAAAATGGGGTTACAGAAGTAATATCACAACATTTTTCAAACTCTGTGCTGGAAAAGGCCAAAACCTTAAGTTTTGGTAATTGCAATAATTGCACATTCAATATTAATATTCAGAAGAGTTAAAAACCTATTTTTTTAAATATTTCTTCATTTGTTAGTCATTTTGTTCTGTAAGAATTATACATTTGTAAAGTTCCAATAAATTTATTTTTGTTGCTGTGTACAATTTTTGGCACATTTTACTTTTTTCACTAGTGCGTAAAATAAAGTACTTTTTTTCATTAGTGAAAAAAAGTAACTTTTATATTTCTCATATTAGTGGATTATGTGTACGGTAGTAGAAAAAATATTGTATGCCACTCGTGTGTAAAGTCCCTTTTTGCATAAATAACTATTTTTTACATTTACGTTTATATTTTCAAGCTTGCTGCGATTCAGTAGCTGCCCCTACCATATTAACCCACCAATTTTTTCAATGTTTGCGTCTGTTGTTTTTGAGGTGCAAGATCGTTCTGGGCGTGAATTGTAAGCGATTACTTCTTCTTTTTTCAGTAAAGCATAGGTTTATATAACGGATTTTCCGAGTTTCATAAAGAATTTTATAATGGCACATTTCTTTACTTGGACACATGCACATATTTTCGGCAGAGCACAGATGCAATATCCATTTAGAAACGGATCAATTAAACGGAGTTAATCTTTACGATTATAGTAATAAAGAGAGGAGATGTTGCTTATTGACACGCTCGTATTTCGTTTGACTTTGAGGCTCTCGACACTGTTTATCTGCAGAACGATCACTTCGGTTTTTTTAGTCACGCCTCGTCTAGCAAGCTCGATCCATTTTGTAAACAAACATTTTAATAGCCTAAGAAAAATGGTTATTAAAAACAAGCTTCAAAACTTTGAGACATATACATTGGGACTGTTCATGTTTCTGCTTGTGGACGATTTATCGGACAATATTAAAATTAATTCAAATGTTATCAATTATTAAGGTCTCCACACTGGTTTTCTGAGTAGTTTTATGGTAATAACCAAAATAATATGTACTATATATTTACCTGGAAAACAAATGTTTCTTTGAATAATGGATTTGGCTGTCCTCTTCGAACTGTCGTTTTACTCTGGGCAAGTTCCTGGCCAGTACTGCTGACGAGATGTAATTTCACGTACGTATCAGGAGGCCTGTTGACGGTCAAATTTCTTAAAAGATAACTGAAAATAAATGTATATTTAATGAAACAACAGTAACAAAACAAAGAACAATGTTAAAAATTAAAAACATTCTTAAATTTAAAAAAGTATGTTCAAATTTTAATTGTCATTTGTCGTTTAAATAAAGACGATATAAAAAAGGAAAATATATCACAGAAACTGAGATTTGCTTTTCTATATTCGACTGACAACGCTCTACCTCTGAGAGCTCTCGTTAATTGATGAGTTTTGATATAGGAACATGAACCCTTAAAACGGCTTAGTTTACCGAGGTAAAGGGTGTTGAAAGTTTGAAATCAAAATTTAAATTTTCCATAAATCAGAAACGTTGTCAGTCGAATGTAGTTGAAACTCTGCAGATAAACACTGATGATGCCCTATATGAGCCGAAAGCGATTCGAAAACGTTTTGCACGAAAGTATTATTTTTGCTTATGACAGAGCTCACAGCCTCTAACCTGAAAGGTTTTGTTTTTGTTTTCTATATAAGATTATGTTGCCAGCAGTGTCTGATTTACCATAAAAGGGCCCCTAGGCATTTTTCTATGCACTTTTTTTCAAGCGCCCCCAACAATTATTTTATCGGTATAAAAATATTTAAGGTTAAGGTGATTACAGCACCCCCTTATAATTTTCGGACAAGCATATCTCAAAAAGTATTTTTTTTAAAAAATTAAAATTTTGGAAAAGTATATTAGGCAATAATATCTAGAATATTCATATATTTTAAATTTTTAGTTCCTTCCAGTTTCCGAGAAAAAAAAATCAAAGGGCTTTAAATTTTAAAATATCATAATGAAAATAAAAGCATTCCTCAACAGCAGTATTCTTAATATAATCCCCAAATTTAAGCTCTTAATCTCTTGTTAATGATTTTTTAAAATTCGCCGAAATTAGTGACCAAAACGCTTCGTTAAGTGCTATTTTCTGGTGTAAGCTGGTGAAAACTGGTGTACATCGTTGCAAGATACGAATGATGACTCAGAGTGTACGATACGATAGTTAGAGACGCGTTACACCAGAAAGCAGCACTTAACGAGGCGGTTTAGCCACTAATTTCGGCGAATTTTAAAAAATAATTAACAAGAGATTAAGAGCTTAAATTTGGGGATTATATTAAGAATAATGTTGTTGAGGAATGCTTTTATTTTCATTATGATATTTCAAAATTTAAAGCACTTTGATTTTTTTTTCTCGAAACTGGAAAAAACTAAAAATTTAAAATATATGCATATTTTAGATATTATTGTCTAATATAGTTTTTCAAAATTTTAATTTTTTAAAAAAATTACTTTTTGAAATATCCTTGTCCGAAAATTATAAGTGGGTGCTGTAATCACCTTAAGGTATTATCGTATTATATACATAAAAGTTAAAAAAAAGCACATAATTTTTATTAAAAATATTGCTTGCCAACGTAACATAAAAATAGAACTTTTAGGTTCGCTATTAAAAATTGGTTTTTTAAAAAATATCAAAAACTTTACAAAAAGCGGAACTTTATTTTAGGTCTTAATGATACAAAAGTTAAAATGTAAAAGCTGGAAAATGCCGGCAACGAACTAGTTTTGTTGCCGCTAGATCTTGGTGGGGCCTTATCTTGGACTTGCCGCGTCTGCATAATTCTACTTGTGTTCCCTATGATTGTGTTATCATAACTCTTCCACCCTTAGAGGAGAATCCGGGGGCTGGCCTCTGGATTTTCTTCCTTGGAGCTCTTTTTCGATGAATTCTTCCTATATTTTCTATATGAATAAATGCAAAATAACAAACAAAATGCAATACAAATATAAATCAATATAGTCCAAACACTAATATTGTTAAAATGGATTGGATTATCAAAAATACTTTTTGTTTTTGAAAATTTAGAGAGTCTTTTAGAGTGGTTAATTGTTCCAAATCAATACTGTTCAATTTAATAGGTTTTAGGTAAATAGGATTTTTATCATCAGAGTTTTTAATATTAACTTTAGGAAGTTCTATTATTTTAAATTTACTTTTTGGCAGTTCGTTACTACGTAGAACTATTTTACCTATTCTAACACTACACTTATTGATTAATTCTAACAAAAATGTTCCTTCTAATGGGACATTGTCACTGTCTTGTCCGCAGATTCTTTGGGCCACTGTGTTTTGAGGTGAGATGATCATCCATTTATTTTGACGAATTTTTTGAATTTTTAAGTCCACAATGTCGAGAGGGATGGTTTGGCAGTTGGTGAGGTTCTTGGAAAACCTCAACAATGAAACTTTGCAGGGGGCGTCTTCTTCTACTGGAGTTGGTACTGATTCGTGACAGATAAACTCTTGGTTACTAATTTCTTGACATTCTGAGTCAAATGACATGAAATTTTGCTCGTTTAGGATAAGGAATTTCGAATTTGGAATAATCATTTGAAAAAGGTTGCTTTTAGGAGTAGGTAAAGGGAAAAGTTGATATAAATCGTAATTTTCTCTCTCCACAATTGGGATTTCTATGATAAAAATAATTTTATTGTTTTTACTATAACTTTTAAATTGAATTATTTTTTCGAATTTAAGTATATTGTTTAAAATTGGTTCAAATGGTAATTTGTTGTTTAATAAATTGTTATTGATTAATTTAATATGGTTGATCAAATCTTTAGGATCTATTATCGAATTATGGAAAACATTTATTTTGGAAAATGTGATAGCAGTTTCAATTTTTTCTAGTAAATCGTAGATATTTTGATATAAAATTGATATTTGATTTGTGACTTCTTGAATATATACACTTTCAAAAGTTTGTTTATTTTGGATTTGAGCGGTTTCTAAAATGTGTTCTATTTTGTTTATTTGAGATTTTAATTTTAGTTGATTGTGAGCTAAGACTTGACTACTTTTATTAAATATGTCTAAAGAATTTTCAACTAAGGTAATTTGTTCATTAATTAAAGATTTCATCTTATTTTGATTTTTTGAAAGATTTTCTTTGGCTTTGTCATATTTTTCTGCGTCGTTTTGATCTAAATTTCCAGATATTGATTTAATTATTGTACCTAAACCATTAAGAAGTCCACGTTTTTCTCTATGGGTTTGTTCAAGTGATGGGTTTAATTGATCATTTTGGGTAATAATTTTATTTTCTAATATGGTTACTATTTGAAATGTAACAAAGATGTCCTCGGAATCTGACTTGGTCTGGTTTATAAGTTTATTTTTTGTTATCATTCGTAGGTCGGAAAATTTGTCTTGTAGTGACTTAAATTCGTCTATTACTTTGGAAATGTCGAAAATTCTTACAAATGACCAGTACTCAATTATGTTTTTAGTCTTTCCTAATTTAAGAGTTAAAAGTCCAGGATTGTCGGTAATATTATGGAATGTTGGTTGAGTCAGTTTGCAGTTTGTGAAGTTGATGGTTGCGAGGAACGCAATTCCTAGGATTATTTTCGTCATATCAACGGGGTCAAGCGATGCTGTCTGTTCTCCCTGATTTTCTTAAAACTAGCTGGATTTGGCGATGTGGTCCTCGTCCAGGTTCTTAAACTAGCTGGATTTGGCGATGTGGTCCTCGTCCAGGTTCTTAAACTAGCTGGATTTGGCGATGTGGTCCTCGTCCAGGTTCTCCAAACTTCGGCAATGTTGGTCCTATGCTTGGCTGTACACTTTTTGCTCAGTTTATTTTACCAATTTTCGCGAATTCGATTTGCCGTTAAACTATTAAAATAGACCGATTTGACACGATTTTTGTTGTCACACCGTTGGGCAATCCTACTGACTGCGCCACTTTTAGGTTCGCTATTAAAAATTGGTTTTTTTAAAAAATATCAAAAACTTTACAAAAGGCGGAACTTTATTTTAGGTCTTAATGATACAAAAGTTAAAATGTAAAAGCTGGAAAATGCCGGCAACGAACTAGTTTTGTTGCCGCTAGATCTTGGTGGGGCCTTGGACTTGCCGCGTCTGCATAATTCTACTTGTGTTCCCTATGATTGTGTTATCATAACTTAGATGCACTATGAGTAATGATTTTATAAAAATACATATCAATAAATTTTATTGAATACAGATCATAGATTTGTTAATTTTTTTTTCAACCTCCCTATAGGGCTTGATTTTTACTAAACATTTCATGTTGATATCGCTTTTGGTTTTTAAATTCTATTTTTTTAATTTTATCTCCCATTGACTCCATTTTATTTTTTTTTTAATCAATAGGCTTTGTCCCCTTTTAGAACTTGATTTTTGCCAAAAATTTTGAAATGATATTATTTTTCGTTTTTAAGTTAGAATTTTTGTTAAATATTTTAACCCATTTATTTGTTTTCCAAATCAATATGCTTTATTTTTACTGAACATTTCGTTGTTGATTTATGATTTTTTTTTTAAATTTTAACCCTCTTTAAACCCCCCATTTTTATTCAATTTTTTTCAAAATCAAAGAGCTTCTTCCCCTTACAGAGCTTGATTTTTGCTAAAAATTTTAAGTTGATATCATTTTTCGTTATTGAGATTTTTTTTTTAAATTTTAACTCTTAATCCCCCAATTTGTTTCATATTTATAGGCTTCATCTTCTTATAGAGCTTGATTTTTACTGAAAATTTTATGTAGATTTCGCTTTTCGTTTTTGATTTATGATTTTTTTTATATTTCAATCCCCGGAATCCTCCATTTTTACTTGATTTTTTTTCAAAATCGTTAGGCTTCTTTCTCTTATAGACCTGAATTTTTAAGTTAATATAATTTTCGTTTTTGACTTATCGTGCGAACAAAAAACGGACGGTCAGAGTAAGCCTATAATAATCTTCATAGACTACTGCGTGAAAATTATAATAAGTACTTATTTAATTTAATTTAAAAACAATGTAAATCAAATTCAGGTATAGTCATCTTTTTTTTTGTTTTTTGTTTTTTGGTTTTCTCAGGTATCAATACCAAAACCCCAGCTCTCCTTTGTGACTTTTCGCCACTAGGCAATTGCCTACCCAGCTAGCACATAACGTTGCCAAGACTTTCGGCGATGTTGCATTAAGGGA